TAGACTTTAGTTTAGGTAATCCTTATATGTGTGGATATTGTGTGATGATTTGTTTCATAAAACAATTAATGCACTAGCTTAACTTCTTTTATTAGTTTTTTCAGAATACACAAGCTCCTGCTTCTTTATTTAACAACTCTGTTAACATCAGCTTCAGCTGAGTATACATTTTTGACGTTAGGGAGATTAAAAAACTACTTGCAGTCCACAATGTCACAAGAGCATCTTAATCATGTAGTTATTTTGCATACACACAAAGAATTTACAGATGATTTACACATCGAGGACATTGCAAAAGAATTTGTTACATTTAATGAGCATAAACGCCAATATTTTGGACAGTATTAATTTCAGTACGTGCTATGTATTAATGATCAGTTGTTAAGTCATGCTCCTATGATTGTAAAAATAATACCTTAGCCCTCCCAACTTTTAGTTTGTTCCTACCCCTATGCTCAATATGATGCACTTTCCAGCATTCATTCATGATGCCTAAGCTGTAAATTATGGCTAGCAGCCATTGTCAAAATGAAAGCAGTGCATTATCACCAAAAATCAGCAACAATACCAGTTCTAGGACATAGCATTAAATCAATATTATTATTCAAACACTCATGGGATAAAACACACAAACCGAACACCACAGAAAATGGTGAACACATAATCAAATAGTCATATATAACACACAATAAAATAATCATCTGTCAAATTGTGAGTGCATAGCTATGTCATCATCTGAAATTGGATGAGGACCATATCTAGCTACTTTACAATAGTCATCGTACATCTTCTTATTCTCTTCTGATACTGTGGGTGGGGTTATTCGAAAACTGTTGTCCGTACTATAGGCAGAGGTTAGTTTCCAGAGGAACTTCTCTTCTTGGACCTTCTTTGCTGTGAGTGTTAGGTCCTTATCAGTTTGTGGTTCAAGAGGAATGCAGGATAACTGGTACAACCTGTCAAACCTGTTTTAGAGAAACAACAGGTTTTAAAACTTTTTAGTGAAAGTCCGAGTGTAGGTAGTACATACAACAAAAATTTTAAAATAAAAAAGGACTTGTAAGTCAAAAATTGTAATCAGAATTAGCTTAAACTTCCTACATAGCATAAGGACACCAGACAATAGTTAGTAATACATGTTCTCTGACTAAATTTTAGAGTATTTTTTAAGTCACACTCTTTCATTATTTCCCAATTCCCTCAGTAGTATAATTGCTATTACCTTTCACATGTTTTCATGTCCTCTTTTGAAGGATCCCTACACTCAAACCCATAGTAATCAATAGAACTGGGGAGTCCATTGGGAGTACAACAAGAAGTGAAGGAGTGAGTGTTAGTAGTGACATTAGAGTCTTGTTGTTTGGGTGAGTACTGATCACCAGTCCTCTCATCCTCAGGCTCACTGTCTGATGAATACTCATCAGCTTCTGCTGGCTCAGTCTGTGGTATACCAAAACTGAATCCTCTTTTAGCAGCCATCTTGGAACTGCTGGAGCTATAGAGGGAGGGGGTGAGGGAGAGAGAGAGGGAGGGAGAGAGGCGGAAGAGAAACAGACAGATAGAGAGGGATAGGGAGAAAGGACTGTATTATTGAACAGTGAAGGGACTAAATTTTGGACCATTTTTGTATTTCATTACACATTACTGATATCAAAAGTAAGGTACATGTACATTTGGTTTCACAGACTTTGGGTTAAGGTTGTAGTAGAAAATCTTAATGCTACTGTTTCATGAACATGTAAGATTGTGATTAACCTGATGTGTGTGTGTGTGTGTGTGTGTGTGGGTAGTTACTATATAATTAATTACGTGCATATCTTACTTCCTAATAAGGACTACCATTACTACACATTAATGAACCATTAATTAAAAACTACTCAATCATAAATCAATAGATCACACACACACACACACAAACACACACACACAGGTGGTATAGTGATCATAACACAAAGTACATGCATTTGTTGGAAACAGCTCAAACTTCCTACACAGCATAAGGACATCAATATGTATCAGAAAATGTAATAACAATTTGGGGTCGTTTTGGATCCAATTTTTTTGAAAACCATGGGCTATAGCCTTGGGTATTTTGAAAAATTAGCTGATTTCTTAAAATGGCCGTAGCTTTAAAATTTCTTGTTAGAAACAGCTCAAATGTTTTACACAGCATAAGGACATTAGTATCACATTGATGTCCTTATGCTGTGAAAATGTAACAAAAAATTGAAGTGATCTTGGAGCCATATTTAGAAAAAAACCATTGGCTACAAAATAGTGTATATGTGTGTGTGTGTGGGTAGTTACTATAATAATTAAGTACATACATTACATATCTTACTTCCTAATAAGGACTACCATTACTACACATTAATGAACCATTAATTAAAACTACTCAATCATAAATCAATAGATGATACACACACACACAGAGGTGGTATAGTGCTCATAACACTAACTATTAGTCAGAAACAGCCCAAACTTTTTTACACAGCAAAAAGACATCAATATGTATCAAAAAATGTAATAAAAATTTGGGATGATTTCGGAGCCATAGTCTAAAAAAAACCATGGACTACAGCCTTGGGAATTTTTCTATAGTGTACCCATCCATTTAACAGACAGCACCTAGTGTACCAATTGCATTCCTTACTGTATAAAACAACCTCCACATAAAGGACACCTACATGTATGTATAACAGACAAAATTTCTTGTCTGAAAGTGTCCATTATATAGAGGCTACATGTACAGTACATACTGTATTATCATCTTATTTATTTATTCCCTTACCCGCCCACTTTCTTCTTCATTTTGTCTCTCACTACAAAAGGATTACCTTGAATAGCACCACCTTCACTATCAAGGGACACAACATTACTACAAACAAACAAAACATGTAAACAACAACAAAAATAAACAAAATAAAAATATCAAAAAATATACTTATTCTCCAGTCCTTACAACAGATGTACTCAGGAGTCTATCAAAGTTGGTTAGTTCGTAAGTTTTGTATATTTCATCAAAACTGTCTCTGTCAGTAGTATCATTATTAATATGAGGTACTGCTGGAGGAGTGGGTCCTTCTTCTTCAGGATCATCTTCAGTATTAGCAATAACTAGAAAAATAATATTTAATGATAAACATATTACAAGTAATTAGGAATATAATGTA